AGGAGATCCTGCCCCGAACAGGGTGATTCGAGCCTCGCCAGATCTGCGCTCGAGTTTGCCGGGTGGGCCGCAGCGCACGCGGGCGATCCAGGGGCCAACGCGCTGACCCTGATCTCTTCTCGAGGCTCCTTCTGGCGCGGAGCTGGCGGCCCCGGAAGGCGGCCCGGCGCGCGGGGCCCCAGCGCCCCCCCCTCTGCGGCCCAGGCGCGGAGCCTGAGGCGCCGTGGGCGAGCGGCCGCCACCTCCGCCCGCCGCCCCCGCGGGCGCAGCTCGCCGGTCGTTTGCTGGATGCCGCGCGCTTCGGGAGGTCCCACTACTCGAGTCTCGGGCGCGCCTCCTGTTTTGCAGCAGCTGTAGCGAGTGCAGTCGGACCGAAATGCGAGAGGGGAGGGTACCCTTGAATGGGGTTCTGAGCACCGTGGAGAGGGCACCCTTGGACGTTCTGTGTGTTCTGGTCCAGCTGCGCGCCGCCATCTACAAGCGCGCCGAAGGCCTCCGAGGGAGGTTCGAAGGGCATGGGGCCTCGCTCAAGGGCGCGGACAAGAAAAACGCAGACGCGTTCGCGAGGTTGGCGCGCCCCAAAAGGGTTCGCGTTCGCGAGGTTGGTGCACCCCAACAGGATTTATAAGCTGGAGCCTGACCGATTTCCTGGTCGGAAGGCGCGCGAGAGCTGTTCGGGGGTCGGTTCGGGGCGGCTCTGGACGTGCAGGCCGCAACTAGGGCACAGAGGAGCGTTGCGGCTCCCATTTTTGTCCACGTTTCGGCCTGAATGAGGAGCGCACCCGAGCCCTTGGCAATCCTGCCATTTCGGAGGCCGAGGCCGACTCCGAGGATGAGTTTTTAGGGGGTGCCTTGTCGCCGACGGCTGGTTTCGCCCGGCTGGTTTCGCCGCCCGGCGAAACCAGCTCCGTCGGTGAAACCAGCTCCTACGGCGAAACCAGCTGCTGCGGGCAAAACCAGATGCCGTCGGCGTAACTGCCCGCCCCGATCCGCCCGCTAGGGCCCGCCCACCCGAACCGGCCCGCCCGCGAGGGTTCGCGCGTGCTCGGACGAGCGCGCCCCACATTTCAACGTCCCGCCCGGCTGGCCCGACCCGCCCGTTAGGGCCCGCCCGCCCGACCCGACCCCGACCCGCCCGCCGGGGCCCGCCCGCCCGACCCGACCCGCTCGTTAGGGTTCGCGCGTGCTCGGTCGAGCGAGGCCCCATACTTTAATGTCCCGCCTGCCCGACCCGATCCGCCCGTTTGGGCCCGCCCGCCCGCCCCGACCGGACCCGCCCGCTGGGGTCTGCCCGCCCGACCCGACCCGCCCGCTAGGGTTCGCGCGTGTTCGGCCGTGCGCGCCCCGCACTTTGATGTCTCGCCTGCTTGACCCGCCCGCGAAGGGTTCGCCCGCCCGATCCGACCCGACCGGCCCGCGAAGGTTCGCACGTGCTCGGTCGAGCGCGCCCCGCACTTCAATGCCCCGCCCGCCCGACTTTCAGGGTCCGCCCGACCCGACCCGACCCGCCCGCTAGGGGTCGCCCGCCCGACCCGACCCGACCCGCCCGACCCGACCCGCTTGTTAGGGTTCGCATCGGGGAATCTAGCGCCTGCGAAAATGTCAGCCTGTGATTAACAGAAGGCTGCCCCCTCGGGGCTGATGGATAGACCCCGCGGGGCGCAATTTTTTCCCTACCTAGGCTCTGCCTAGAAGGGTTCTTTCTCGGTGTGCTTAAAGGGCCGAGCAGTGGGCTACGCCCCGGGCGGTTCCCCCAGCATCCGCCCCGCGGTTCCCTCAGTTACGTCCACTTAGCTTAGCGTTGCTTATCTCATCTTAGCTCAGTCAGCTTTCCCTGCCTAGGCTCTGCCTAGAAGGGTTCTTACTCGCTAAGCTTAAAGGGCCGGGCAGCGGGGCTCGCCCCGGGCGGATCCCCCGACATCCGCCCCGCGGTTCCCCCAGCGACGTTCCCTTAGCTTGGCGTTGCTACCTCATCTTAGCTTAGCTTATTTCATCTTACCTTAGGTTAGCTTCATCTTACCTCAGTTTTGTTTTAGCTTAGCTTACCTTCTTCTTAGCTTTAGGCTTAAAGGGCCGGGGGGTGGGGCTCGCCCCAGGCGGTTCCCCCGGCATCCGCCCCGCGGTTCCCCCAGTTGCGCCCCCTGGGTTCACCCAGCTTAGCTTATATTTGCTTAGCTTAGCTTATCTCATGTTAGCTTAGCTGAGCTTCGCCTATCTCATCTTAGCTTATCTTAGCTTAGTTTTGCCTAGCCTAGCTTAGCTTAACTGAGCTTAAACTAGCCTAGCTTAGCTTATCTCATCTTAGCTTACCTTAGCTTAGCTTTGCTTAGCTCAGCGTAGCCCAGCTTAGCTTACCTCACCTTAGCTCACCATAGCTTAGCTTAGAATGGCGTAGCTTTGCTTATCTTAGCTTAGCTTACCTTAGCCCAGCTTAGCTTAGCTTAGCATAGCTTAGCGTAGCTTAGCTTAGCTTAGCATAGATGTAGGTGTGTGTATATATAATTGGAGATGTGCGTCTCGCTGTTGATGTTGAGGTAGCTGTAGATGCGGGTGTAGATGTACATGTAGCTGTCGGTGTAGATGTAGATGTTAGCTTTCCTAAACGCTCCAACTCCTAGGTAGGGTCGCACTGGGATAATTTATGAAAAAAATCGCGCGCGCCAGGGAGTCGTCGCTGGCGCCGCCGAGGGGAGCGTGCACCCCCTCCGCATGACAGCCTCAAAACGATCCCCTTTCGTATAGAAGCTGCTATAAGGGTCGTACACATCCGAGGCGAATTTCCGTTCCCCCTCTCAGGCGTCGTCGTCGTCGTTCCCGCCGCCGCCGCAGCCGTCGTCGTCGTCGTCGTCGTGGTCGTCGTCGTCGTCGTCGTCATCTTCTTTGTCGTCCGTGTCGTCTTCGTCGTCGTCGTCGTCGACTACAGCGGGCCTGCGCAGCATCCCCCCCCGTTTGGGCATCCGCAGTGCGTCGTCGTCGTCGTCGCCGCCCGCCGTCACCGTCTGCCGTCCGCCGTCCGTCGTCCTCGTGCTCGTCCCATCGTCGTCGTCGTCGACGAAGAGAGCGGCCGCTGGAAACGGGCGTAGGCAGGGCGGAGGACGGCGGCGACAGAGGGGGGAGAAGGATTATCTGCCTTGCTCGGATCGGACGATAGGCTGGGGAAGGCAAGGGGGGGTTGCAAAACCTGCTGCGCGCAGCTGGTTTCGGCCGCCCCGCCAAAAGGCTGGTCCTCGACGCATGGCCGCTTTCGGCGCCAGGGGGCGCTTGGAAAATCGGCGGCGTGAGCTGCTTGGCAAATCGCCCTTTTGCTGCGCCCCACTTTTGTCCAGCCCGCGTTGCCCGCAGGCCCGCTTCGGCTCGACAAAGAAAGGTGCGCCCTGGCCCGCCCTTGCCTCCAATTCCCCTTTGCCCCTCGTTGGCGGCCCGGCGGGCGCTAATCAGCGGCGCCGCCCCGTGGATTTTCAATCGGGCGCCGCCCCGCGAGTCACCCGAGCAGGGGGACCATTTCTTAAAACACGCGCCCCCAACGGATCTAACTGTTAACGCGAGCTGGTATTACCAGCGCCGGCGAAACCAGCCGCCGGCGAAACCAGCGCCGGCGAAGCCAGCGCCGGCGAAACTAGCAGTCAGCGAAACCAGCGTGGCGGAAACAGCGTTTGCGAAACCAGCGCCGGCGAAACCAGCTCATGCCGCTTTGTCGGGGCCCCTGGGCGGGGTTGGCATCCGCCTCGGGGTCTGGAGCGTCTTCCTTTGCTGGGCCCCCCCTGGACTCTTTTCTCTTTTCCACTCAAAAGCATCCAATCCTCTTCGTCGTCGTCTTCATCGTCGTCGTCGTCCTCCCTCCTTCTCCTCCTCCTCCTCCTCCTCCTCCTCCTCCTCCTCCTCTTCCTCCTCTTCGGTATCCCTCCCCCATCATTTTCCTGTTGTCGCCTTCTCCCGCATCTTTCCCGGACTTCCGGCGTCGTGATATTTTGCAGCGTGGGCCCCCTGAGGTCAAGGCCCCTTCCCCGGGGTCGGCTTTTCATCCAGAGCCGTGGTCTGCCCGTCTTGGCCCCAAGCAAGAGGTCGCAAACAGTCCAAGACCTGCCGTTGCCGTTTTTGGTCGCGACGCGGGGAGGTTTAGTTCCAGGCTGGAACTCGAGTCTCCCGAAGCCGTTCGGTGCGATTCGGGGGCCCCTGGAACGCTCTTGGCGACGCAGCTGCCGGAAAGCATCCCGAGGCTGGAAAACGTATTTGGAGATTGCGAGGGCGTTCGAAAACCCTGAATCTCGGGTGTCCTGAGATCCGACGTCGCGAAGTAGTGCAACGTCGCGTCACCTCGTTCTGGCTGGAGCTCTCCCTCGCTCGATCCTCCGTGTCGGCGAGGTCAGTCCCAGCTCGAACTCTGTCCGCTCTGCCGAAACCTCGATGGCTCCTCTACCCCGCTGCTGCTGCTGTGGGGGAGGGAAGCCGCCTTTATTGCTCGAGCCCAAGCGCCGGCGCTGCATACACGCATGTTAGTTACTTGCAACATCCTAGACTCCCAGGGCAAGTCCTCCAGGAATCTTCAGAAATCACACTCATATTATTTTCTCGAACTAAGCGTGACACGCAGCAGCGTGCGCTGGGCCTAGCACCCAGTTCAACAGCAAATAGAGGCAGGCGTCGCGTCAAACAGCACAACACCGTGCAAGTCGCCAAAATGGCGTCTTCGTCGCACACGGCGTAGTGGTCCCTCACGCATCCGTCGAGCTCGCTCCCTTGCTCGACTCACTGGCCTCGATCCTCTCGTACATATCACGGAGGCGGATGGCCTTCATCTCGGCTTTGATCTCCTTCTCTTTGCTGGTTCGCAAGGTCTTCTCGATCTCGTGGTACTCCTTCGCTCGCTTCCACCACGTCGTGTCCCACGTCGTGTCCGTGTCCACCAGCAGCATGCCACACTGCAGGCACCGGAGCTTGTCCTTGTACTGGTTGCTTCCTTGTGTAGTCGTCACATTGTGCTCGCAGTCGCCTATGCGTTCTCAGGCCGTCTGCTTGCCCTTGGGCTTGCCCTTGGCCTTGCTCGTGGACTCGTGCGTCTCGAACTCGCTGCTCTTGGCTCCCCGCTGCACGGAGGCGTAGGTCTTCTTTCCTCGACGACACTCGTCGCAGTTCTTGACCACCAGCTCGTACGCCTCGAGAACACCTTCCTCGATCATGTCGCCGAACTCGTCCGCGATCTTCTCGTACGATGAGTGTCCGGTTCTCTCGTGTAGCGCGCGAGCCTTCAGCATCTCTTTCTTCGTCGGGGTCATGGACTCCTTGCGTTGGTGCGGTACCTTCTGCCAGGTCCCTGCCTCCTCATCGTCGTCATCTTCGTCACCCGGTACAGCAGGCAGGTCATCGGCACGCGTCGAGGTAGACGCCCGATGTGGTTTCTTGCGTGTCCTCGGTCCGCATTCGCACTGGTCCAGCGTCATCCGACACAACGCACATACCGTCACCGTTGCCGCTGCAGCGGCGCCTGACTTGATCTCCTCGGACTCGGCACCCGCAGCGTCCATGATGTAGATCTCCGCAACGTCGGTGCTATCCTCCTTCACGTTTCCGTCTGACTCGACGTGCGCACCGAGCTCCTCGGTGACACCTGGTTCCTCTTTGGGGTCGTCATCGGTCGTCACCTTCGGCTTCTTGATGGTGTGCTTCTCCGTGAAGTCCTTCTCGTAGCGCTCGAGGGCCGCCTTGGTCGGTGCGTAGATCGTCAGCAGTTTCCGCACCTGGGTCGGGATCCTCCGACGCTTTGACACCTGGTCTAATCCAGACCAGTCAACCATGTCCTCGAGCTTCTCGTAGTAGATGTCGTCCTCGCGCTGTCCAAGCATCATCCGCCAACGGAGGTATGGCTTCGGAGCAGGCTGAGCCACACGCGCATTGTACCTCACATCCGCAATGCACTCCTCGAAGTAGGTGTAGCCCTCGTGAACGAAGAGCTGGTCAGCAGGCCGCTGCCTCTTGGGATACTTCGAGCGGTAGTATTCACCCCTGCGTCCTTTGAGCTCCATCCTCTGCTTGGCGATGAGCCGGTACTCGCCGGTTTGGAGCACATACCTCATGTAGTCGCCAGCGCGGACGTCGTGCTTGGTTAGGCAGTCGGCGAGCATCTGCTTCGTGCTCACCCACTTGCTCACCACGTTGTTGAACTCCAGGTCGTTCCTGAGCGATTCGATGTCGATCAGCAGTCGCTTCTCGGAGGGCACCGTCCCTCGCTTCTGGAGCAGGTCGTACAGCGACTTACAGTCCGTGACTTCCACCATCTTGATCGCCTCCACATCGTCCATGTGGGTCCGGTAGCCGAGTCCATAGTGCAGCTCCACCAGGTGCTGCCTCAGCATGTCGCCACTCTCGACCGCCTCCAGCGCCGCCATCGTCTCGGCTGCCAGGGTACTGCGCACCACCCGCTTGATACGGTGCGACCGCCACAACATGGGAGTGACCTTGGCAGGCATCCCGCGGAGGAACTGATCGTCCTTGTTGTCTGCTAGCAGGATGACCAGGCCCGCCTGACTCGCGGTCTTCGTCTTGCCCACGTTGCCGTGGCTCGAATCTCCAACCGCCACCACGATCGCGTCGTCTATGTTGATCTTCTTGAAAGTGATGTCCACGTGGTCCGTCTTGGCATCGCTCACCAGCTTGTTGAAGTCCAGCTGAACCTTCAGGTCGCTGTCGTGGGCCCTCGCTTGGCTCCCCACCAGTCGGAATGCCAAGTCCATACGGGTAGATCGCACCAGCCACTGAATCTGGCCGTTGCCGCTGTGGAGCATCGCCCTCTCCTCGGGTGTAGCCTTCGCTTCCTTGTCCTTGCGACGCTCGTTGGAGATCGGAATCTTCTCGATGCTCTCGGTGTACTCCCTCTGGCTGCAGGCGATGGTGCCGTCATCTCTCTGCTTGAGGAATCTCCCGCAGTGGTGGAAACCGGTCTTCGCCGTCTGCCACTTGCCGTAGCAGTGCATCTTCCTCAGCTTGGTCACCTGTTTAGCGAAGAACTCGGGCGAGCCCGCTACCAAGTCGTCGTCCACGTGCGTCCCCATCAGGCCGATCAGCTTCTCATTCTCGTCGTGGAAGATGAAGAGAGCCGGGCACAACTTCGATCTCGACGCTCCTGGAAGAGACAGCATGGTGTCGCGATGCTCCTCGTACCACAACAGAGGTGCATCATTCAGCCCGTAGATCCCCTTCTTCGCTCTCAGCACCGTACCTTCTGGAACGGCTGGCCAGCCCAACTCCGGTACAGCTGGCAGGCCACCCTTCGCTGCGCGGAAGTATACGCGTCGAGAGCTGTCGAGGTACTTCCCGTTCAGAAATGCCGAGTCGACGTCGCCCTGTTCCAGCCTCCAGCCCAACTGGCTAGCGGCCTCCTGCAGGATCACCGCCGTGGCCGTGTCCGTCAGAGCGGGGGCGTTGGTCTGCAACTCGCCAGCAAGCAGCTGCTTGTCCTTGTATCCTGGAACGATGTTCCGGGACTTCGCCTTGAGCGGGTGCTGCTCGTACGACAGGTTGCCCCTCGTCTCCTCTTTCTTGTCCGTGCGAACGCGCCTCATGGGCAGGATCGCCGTCTTGTCCACCCCCGCGAGCTCCTCCTCAGTCGGCCAGTCCACTGCGTCGTACTCGACCCACTTGCGCCACTCCTCCAGGTCGCTCGCGTCAAAAGCCGCCTTCCACTCCTGGGGAATGCTGCGGATCTCCCGACCCTTCTTGGGAGTGACCTGCTTCTTCGTCGTCTCGGTCCTCCGGGACAGAAACGCGCCCCTCTGGCGATTCTTGACCTTGACGAAGAGTGCCTCCTGATCCATCGGGTCGTCTGGTACCTTCGGCAGTCGCATGGAGCTGCCCTTGAGAGCCTCGCGTCGCAGTCGTAGGCGCTCGCGATCTGCCTCCTGGTCGTCGGGAAGCGTTCGCTTGTAGCTGAGTCATGGTGCAGGTTCTTGTTGCTCAGCTCGCTCTGGTTGCTGTTGATGCGGAATACCTGGCGCAGCCACCGCGTCCAGGTCCATGGAGTGCCCCTGCCCAGCTGCCGCAGCAGGTGGGTCCGTAGTTTGCTCTGGAGGAGACGGTCCTCCTCCCGGTAGTGGTGGTACTTCAGGTAGGTCTCCAGGTGCAGGTACGTTCTCCTCCTCACGCTCCTTCTTCGGTGTCGCCTCGACCACTGGCCGTGGCGGTGGTGGAGCCGGCTCGGTACGCGGTGCCTCAGCCGTAGGTGTGTCGATCACGCCGTCCTCGTGGTCCGAGTCCTTCTCGCCCCTGTCGCGGCGCACTCCCGTCTTGTCGCTCCCATCTGGCCCAGGTCCGCGCTCATCGATGAACCCCTTCTGTAGCGTAGGTCCTCCACGCCAGTGAGAGAGCTGCCTGACCAAGTCCTCGTTCTCCACCATGTCCGCCTCGCTGCGGGACGCGTGTCGCACCTGCTCTGGCGTCGCGAGCACCGGCACCCCGCGGTAGCTGAGGTGCAGCCTCGTGTGGCCTCGGCCAACCATGGCCCTCCTGACGGCGTCATCGCTGTCCAGCTCGAAGAACGCCCGGTTCGCCGCCGCACGTATCTGCTCTGCTCTCCTCGGGCCCTCCTCCAAGAGAGCCGCGCTCTGCGATGCCAGCTGCCTCCGGTCGCCCTCCATCGCCTCGATCAGCGAGGCCGGGATGTCAGGCGACCTACCCAGCACGTATTGGTAGGGGGTGAAGCTGTTCCTCCGAATGTGGTTGTTGCACGTGCTCGCTATCACCGATGTCCACACATGCGGATCGTCGTCCTTAGTGAGCTGCACGTCGCGGTTCAGGCGCTGGAAGTGGTCCTTGAAGAAGTCGATCGCGCGCTCCACTCGACCCTTGAGCTGGGGCGCCTCTGCTGGGACCGGCCTCATCAGGATAGTATACTTCTCTCCGATCTCTGCGAACCGCTGCGTGATGTGGCCCTTGGCCGCGTCGTAGTACAGCACCTTGGGTGGTCCAGCCCACGATAGCCAGCCTTGCGAAAAGCATCGCAGGCTCTCTTCACCTGTGATGGACCTCACTGCAGTAGTAGGGATGGTCACCCAGAAGCCCGACGCGTCGTCCAGAATCACCATGACCATCAGTCGGGTCCCGTCTGCTAGAATCACCTCGGCTTCGTCGAGGAACACGTTCTCATTGAATTCCGTCGAGAGCTTCAGGTTGGAGCTTCTCACCGTAGTCGGCCTGCCGAGCTCCTTGCACACGCCGCAGTCCAGCTTGTCAACCGCATCCAGCACTTGCTGCGACGCTCCGTAGGACTTCAGCCGACGCTTCAGTGCGTGAGCAGAGGGGTGGCTCAGGTTGAGGTGGAGCTTCTTGAGAGCGCCCCACTGGGCCGTGGTGATGTCCGAAGGCTTATCCCCGAAACTCTCACCATCATGTTGTAAGTCTCGATGTGCCGTGTCAGCTTCACGATCATCTGGAGCAAAGGTCTTGGGCTTGCTCCCGTAGATGTGCACCGTCGCAGGGAAGGACGTCTGCACCTTCGGCTCCTTCACGTAAACTGCGATCACCGTGTCGGTGGGGAACCGCTTGACCAGCTTGATCGTCCCGAAGCCCGGGTCGCCCGCGTAGGCGTCGCTGTAGTCCGCCAGTGCGCCCTCGCTGGAGTACATCGCGCAGAGTCGCCGCACTGCCCCGCGAGGGGTTTAGAACCTCCTCGTCACCCGTCAACACGCGCACGCCGATCAGATCTTTCCTTAGCTTGAACGCCTTGGCCACTGCATTCACGATCTGCTTGCTCGGGGACCTCGCCGTGCCGTTACCGATGGCCATCTCCTTCGGGCTCGTCCGTCGTGCCAGCTCGTGCGCGCCGGCGCCCACCAGAGCCTTGCCCAGGTCGTCCGGCCAGGCGCCCGCTTGTGCCAGTGCCGTACTCCGCCCGACCATGTCGGCGTGCTGGTGGCCCCCGTCGCACCTGCGCTCGAGCCACCCAGAGAAGCACGAGCCGTTGGGCACCATCATGCACGGCGGCTTGCGAATCGGGTCGCCGTAGTTGTCCACGAGCCCGTGCATGCACTGGTGTAGCGTGGCCGTCTCGTAGAGTGGCGGCTGGTTCCCATGCCAGCTCAGCAGGTCCACGATCGAGGCTTCACGCCACGCCCGGCTGGTGAGGGGGTTCTCGCCGATGCCGGGCTTGAAGGTCCTAATCAAAAACAGGAAATCTGATCGTGTCCGAGGGTCGTTAAAGTTCACTTCAACTGATAGGTCCGAGGGGGTCGCATTCGCGTGACCACCCTTCGAAGCTACATGAGTAAAGCGAGCCTCCTTCGCGAACAACTCCCAGAGAAACGTCTCGTTGTTGTCCCGCAGAACGTCGAATATAACCGCATACTCCTTCATAAGTTTGTCGATCCGCTTGAGCGTACCCTTCTTGAGGATCCCCTTGTTACCGTTTTTTCGTTGCATCCTGGACCCACCGATCGGCGTCGTCCTGGACTCTGAAGTCTGGCTTGGTCACCTGCAGCGTCTCCGCGACCAGGAAAACCTCCGGCTCGACTTTCTCGACGTTGATGCGGAACTTCTCGAAGAGGGGCTCCGCCTCGTACGACTCCAAGTCGTAGTCGAAGATGTCGATGCCCGCGCGGCCGCCGGGAAGCTTCACGAGCTCCTTGTCGTACACCCCGAGATCCTGGAAGTCGGCCCACTGGCCGTCCTCGCGCAGGTACAGGTTCGTCTTCCTGTCCGCCAGGTTCTTCTTGCTCGTCAGGCCGATCATGTCGCCTGGGATCTCGAAATACTCTTGTAGGACATGCTTCTTGCCAATGCCGATCGGGATGATCCACTTCTGCTTCGCCTCGCGTCGCGCGCCGCCAAGTCCCTTGAACTTCTGGCTCGCCTCGACGATGATGGGCCTCAGGCCATACTTCTCGAGCTCCGCGGCGATCTTATCCAGCCAGCCGCGCCCTGCCACCGCCACGGAGGCGCCGCTGTCCACCAGGGTGGCTGGCACGATCGTGCTCGAGATCATCGCGTCCACTTCTGGTACTTCAGGTAGGATCGGGTCGCTCTCCACTTTGACCATCATGATGTCGTGCTCGGCTGGCTCCTGGAACTTCTCCGTCGCAGGCTCCGGGTCCTGGGCGTCCTTCTGGTGGAACATGTCCGGCATGACGCGCACCAGTGTGGTCATCGCCCAGAAACCAAGCCGTCGTGGACGTGATTGAGCCTTCGAGGTCTTGCCGCGGCCCTTGAAACCCTTGCCTGCCGGCCGCGCAGGTCGCGGCGTCGGGCAGTCTGGTGTAGCGTGGTCCATTTTTCCGCAGTTGGCGCACCTCTTGTCTTTGGACTTACCTTTGCCACCGTCCTTGCCCTTGCCGCCTTTGCTTCCTTTCCCGGCTGCCTTGCCACCGGCCGCCGCGCTCTCGTCCACTACTCCATCGATTCGTCCCTTGAAGAAACCCCGAGCCGCCCGGATCTTGTTCATCTTCAGCCGGCTCTCGCGCAGCGTGACGAGGGCCTGCTGGTTTTCGTCGTCCTCGCTCGCGAGGTAGACGTCGGTGTCGTCCCCGATGTAGAACATGTCACTGCTGTCCCAGTTGTCGTCGTCTTCCGCGAACGCGTAGACACCGTGCTCTTCGTCCCACTCGTACCAGTAGCCGTCGTCGTCCTGGACCCAGTACCCGTCATGCTCGACGCTCTTGTCCTCATCCCCCAGGTCGCGCTCGCCGTCGTTGTAGTTCGCCCATCGCCAGCTCGTTCTCGCTCCTTGTCGATCCCGGTGCCGACCTCCGCCTCGTGGGAAGAGGTTCTTCAGCATCGTGCTAATCTTCTGGAAGTTGAAGGTCTCATCTGCTCGTGCTATCACTAGGTTGCGCTCGTCCTTGTCGAGTCCACTTCTCTTCAGCGTGCGGTGCCCTAGCTCGTTCGCACTGATCTTCGTGTCAGGGTCCACTTCCTCGAGGTTGCGCTTCGCCACCTCCATCGCTGTGCAAAACGCCGCCATCGGCTCTTCGCCCTTCTTCTCGAAGTGAGTCTGGTCGAAAAATGCGTCGAACGCCTTCGGCAGCTCCCTGAAGCTGCTCTTGGCGAAGCGCTGCTCCTCGAGGAATCGTAGGAATCTCGCGGCGCCGTCCTCCGTCGCGTAGTCCTTGGGATTCGTCTGCTCGATCAGCACGCTTATGGAGTTGTCCGCGCCCAGCAGGTTCCTGTACAGCTTCGGACAGAGCGCCTGCTTTGACTCCTTGCTCTCGCAGCTCAGCTCTGCCGCCTGAACTGCCCTCTTGTATCTGGTGATGTCCTTCAACGTCTCGCCCTTCAGCACCGGTATCTTCGGGTCGACTGCGCTGTTATACTCGGCCATGTCGTACGTAGTCGCCGTGGTCGTACTCTCTGGGATGGCTAATCCCGATGTCCTCTATGTCTGGAGCAGTTGGGCCAACCACTCGCTCCGCTACCAACCTCGTTCTGGCTGGAGCTCTCCCTCGCTCGATCCTCCGTGTCGGCGAGGTCAGTCCCAGCTCGAACTCTGTCCGCTCTGCCGAAACCTCGATGGCTCTTCTACCCCACTGTTGCTGCTGTGGGGGAGGGAAGCCGCCTTTATGCTCGAGCCCAAGCGCCGGCGCTGCATACACGCATGTTAGTTACTTGCAACATCCTAGACTCCCAGGGCAAGTCCTCCAGGAATCTTCAGAAATCACACGTCATAGTGCCAACCTGAGCCCCATGCCCAGATCTTTTTGCGGCGTCCTTGAGCCAGATCGACCCGCGAGGGCTCTCGGGGGCCCGACGCGGGGCGAGAGCGCCCCGCGTGCCAGAACCTCGCGGCGCCAAACAGGGCCTCGCCACCTCCTCCCCCCCCTCCTCCACCTCCGCCTCCTGCTCCTCCTCCTTCTCTTCCTCCTCCTCCTCCTCCTCCTCCTCCTCCTCCTCCTCCTCCCCTTCCTCCCCCCCCCACTCCTCCTCCCCCTCCTCCCCCCCTCCCTCCACAATTACTCAATATCAATACTACTCTCCCTCTTCCCCTGATGGCGTGCTGGGAGTAGTCGCCCCCCCCCCCCGCGTCATTTTTTTTACACACAGGATTCCCGGGAGTTGGGTTTTCGCCTGCATTTGTTTTCAAAATGCTGCTCTCGCTGAGGCGCCGGCCTCATTTTCGGGCCCCGCTCGTTCCGAATCGTGCTCCCGCTGCAGCGCTGGCCTCATTTCCGTGCTTCCGCTCGTTCCGAATCGTGCTCCCGCTGCAGCGCTGGCCTCATTTCCGCGCTTCCGCTCGTTCCGAATCGTGCTCCCGCTGCAGCGCTGGCGTCATTTCCCGT